CCGCATCCAGTCCAACACAGATATCTCTTGCTGGAGACATGTCGACAAGTCTAACCCCGCCGATTGTTGCTCAAGGGGCTTGTTTCCTCAAGAATTAGTGAATCACCAGCTTTGGTGGACCGGCCCTGCGTGGCTCGCCGAATTCGAGCCCACTCCAGAAACGATATTGGAGACTGACGATTTTCCGGAGGAAGAAAAATCTCGTGCTTTTGTTGTTGTAAATCCTGCTGATGTCGTAAACTCTGCTTCTGTTGTTGATTCGCTTCTCGATCGTTTTTCGTCATTGGATAAACTCGTTAGAATATTCTCTTATTGTCTTCGTTTTGTTAATCGACTCAAGTCGAATTCACCTCACAGAACTCTTGTTGTAGACCAAGTCGAATTCCATTCGACCCTGCTAGATCTCGTTAAAGTTGTTCAATCTTGTCGCTTTGCAGAGGATCTCGATAGATTGAAACGCAATCAGAATTGCTCCAAACCTCTGCGACAACTCGCCCCTTTCGTGGACGCGCGCGGAGTCCTCAAGGTGGGCGGTAGACTCACGCACTCCGCAATATCTCATGAGGCCAAGCATCCCGCGTTATTGCCCGGTAAGCACCGGCTCACGGAACTTATAGTAAAGCGCACCCACCGCCTACACTTGCATCCGGGGCGTCGAGCGTTGCATTACCTACTACTGCAGCATTTTTGGATTCTGGGGGCCCATCAGGCCATCAAACGTTGTTTGTCGCGTTGTTACCAATGTTTCCGGGCGAACCCGCGTACCTTGCAACCGCCCATGGCGGACCTACCGCTCGACCGGGTACGTCAGGCCAAACCCTTCTCAATCGCCGGGGTCGACTACGCGGGCCCCTTCTTCGTATATAATCGTCGTTCTCGCGGGGCAACGCCGTTCAAGGCGTACGTGTGCATTTTCGTTTGCTTTACCACAAAGGCGGTTCATTTGGAACTTGCTTTTTCCTTATCTACAGACTCGTTTTTGTCGGCTCTGAGGCGTTTCATCGCTAGGCGCGGTCGCTGCTCGCGGATCTACAGCGACTGCGGCACCAATTTCGTGGGGGCTCAGCGCGAGCTCGTCAGCTGCATGGAGGCGGCCTCAGGGCGAGAACAAATCCAGTGGTCCTTTAACCCCCCTTCCGCGCCACACTTTGGTGGCCTCTGGGAAGCGGGGGTTAAGGCGACAAAGACCCACTTGAAACGCGTGGTGGGAGCGCAGATCCTCACGGTGGAGGAATTCAGTACCCTCCTAGCACAGGTAGAATCCATCCTGAATTCCCGACCTTTGTGCCCCACCAGCTCGGATCCCCACGACCTCGGGGTGCTCTCCCCGGGGCACTTTATCACATTAGAGCCGCTCGTAGCGATTCCCTATCCCGACCTAGACCCGGTGCCGATAGGCAGACTCGATCGATGGCAGCTGGTGCAGCACATGCACCAACAGTTCTGGAAACGGTGGCATGAAGAATATCTACACACCCTCCAGCAACGACCAAAGTGGCTAAAGCCGGCTGACGCGATATCAAAGGGCACGTTGGTCCTTCTAAAAACCGAAAACGCCCCTCCTCTGGCGTGGAGACGAGGGCGCGTCGAGGAATTGCATCCGGGTCGTGACGGGGTCGCCCGGGTCGCTACGGTGAGGACGGCGGACGGCCTCCTTAGTCGCCCTCTGGTGAAGCTGTGCTCTCTGCCGATGGACGGCTCACCGGAGGGACTCGCTCAAACATAGAAAATACGGTGTATTTTGGTGGGCGGTAATGTTTGGCGCACCGCCGTGTATCATAGTGTAAATAGTAGCTAATTATAGGATCGATTTCGTGTTGTCGCTTCACATTGTTAATTGTACGGTTCTTGTATTGATTAGTTATACCGGGTTAAATTATCGCGCCTATTAGCGAAACGTCGGTGGATCGCGATTAGTACACTTGTCGATATTCGCGCGACTCACCCGACTCGTGCTGCCCGCCCGCGGGTGGCATTCCCCATTATGAGAAGAATTCGGTACTCGCTCGCGCCGTACTTTGCAGGTGCGCGAGCCGGAGAACGGAAGAGAGGGACTCATCAGTCGAACGTCGTGAAGCTCACACGTTACCGTTTTTCGCATGTGCAAACTTGGAGTGCTCGGTCGCCCATCGCAGACCACGAAGGCCTAATCGCTTGCTATCCTGCCTATCTGTGCCTGCTTGCTATACCTGCCTGTCCGTGCCCGCTTGCTATACCGGACTGTTGCATGCTTTCGCCTTGCACGCCAGAGATCTCGCCAACGGGAGGACGACGTCGACACCCAGGAGGCGCCGGGCAACGACACGGTGAGTCGCCTCGCATCTTTTTTTTATATTCGCTTGCTTGCTTCGCTTTATTCACTTTCGCGAGGGCACGGGCCCTCTGGTCCTTTGAGAAATTTTGTTGACCAATCGCAAACCCGGGGAGCGCCTCATACCCCCCCGTGCATTGGTCCTTCGAGCCGGATTCGCGCGCTAAAGTAATAACGCCGACCTTTCGCTCGTGGGTAGCATTTCTTAGTAGTTTTGATCGCGATTGCATTACAATTGATCAGTCGCGTATTCTACACCCGCCGCGATATCTCTCGGCCGCAACATTGCTTCGCGACGAGAATACGCGCGGGAAACTTGTAGTTTGATCGCTTTGTGGTTAATTGCCTTTGTCGTTCGTTATTGAATATTGTCGTTAACCGAAATATTCAACATTGGAATATTCTCGGTTGAGCCATACGTTTTCATCTCGCTGTCGGCGGCCCGGGCGCTCGGTCACGTGCCGGCCGCGTGCACATCGTGTTCTTCTATATAGACGCGCGCGTGATAATAACACGCGATACTTGTTCGTCACTACCGGGTGTGTTTTCGATACAATTCGAAAATACACGCGTACATACACACTTTCTCGATCGTTGGAACGCTTGCGAATATTTGCCATCGATCGACAACACTGTTTGGCGGCACTGGTCCCCGGGATAAAATATATCAGCACTCATATGATATTTCAATTAGTCATTGGAGATTGTGATGGTAATTGAGCCACATAAATTAGTGCTTGTGTCGTGGATTGCTCGTGTGGTATACCGCTCACGTCGTATGCTCATGTCGTATATTCCGCTTATGTAGTAAAACCGCGCGCAACGCGTATTACTGAGGCTCGATTAGATAAGTACCTGAGTGCAATTTAATTGATAATTTTGACTTTGTTGATTATTGATTACTGATTGTTGATTTATTATTGGTCTAACTATTATATTATTTTGTATCCTTTGCAACCATCTTCCTCGTTAATTATCCTACTTGATCCCCCTCTACCGCCAGTGCTCGCACCCTATTATTTTGCATCAACCTACCGTCGTTTTGAAATTGTACGAATCGTTATTATAGCCTCTCGAAAATATCCGTCGTGCCTTCGAACAGAAATTCGAGCCGAGCCAACTCGTCATCATAACAAGGAGATAGTTGTTTCGTTTTGCGAACATTTCGGAACTTGAAGACCGTTAGCTTCCGGCATTGTTGATATTCTCACATCGAAGTGAGCTGCTATCGTCATCTTGGTTGACCTAGTGATTGTATTCCGGGCATCATGAGTCGAAGGAATGTAACCAAACGCGAGTTATGCGTGAAACGTATGCGGGAGATTCATGAGCTGTCGATGCTCGCCGCGGACAATGTAAATCAGAGACCGAACTTTCTCGTGCGATATCCCATCGTGACCAAATTGGTCGAGGACTTTGAGGCAGCCCACCTCAAGATAATACAAAACGCCTCAGATGAAGAGTTCGAAACGGAGGATTCGATTCGCCGGGACTTTGACGAGATGCGCTTCGCGGTAATCGGGCGTTACGAGAGATTTGTGGGCGCCGACCGAGTAGCCGCTCCGGCCCCGCAGGCCCCGGCCCAGACGTCATCGGTCAAATTGCCCAAGATCTCCCTTCCGTAATTTTCGGGAGATCTCACGCTTTGGCCCTCGTTCATCGCGTTATACAACATCTCTATTCACGAGTACCGGAACGTCCCTACCATAGAGAAGTATCAATATCTGATATCCTGCTTGAAAGGAGAAGCGCTGAACATCGTCAAGAACATCCCTCTCTCCGCCGATAACTACGCGATAGCTTATGACGCCTTGATTTCGCGATATCAAAACAAACGAGACTTGGCGGATTATCACGTGGACTTGATGCTGAAAGCTCAGCCGTTGAAGTCGGAGTCGGCCGTCCCCCTGCGCACGCTGTTGAGCACCTTCACCGAGAACACGCGAGCATTAAATCTATTAGGATTTCCTACAGACGCTTGGGATTATCTCCTTCTCAAATTCTTGCTGGAGAAGCTCCCTCGCTCGCTCCGCGAGAAGTTCGAATCTGAACACCGGGCGGAGAAAATACCGAAATTCACGCAGCTCACAAAGTTCCTCTCTGATCACTGCCGGGTTCTCGCGTCGGTATCGGGCTCACAAAATACGTCGCAAAAGTCTCAGTCGACTTCGTCAAAGAATTCCGCGTCGGCTTCGTCGCTCGCAACTCGAACCGCCGAGTGTCCGGTATGTAAAGAACAACACCCTGTTGCAAAATGTTCTCGG